CCTCCTGATAATATGTAACTCTGCTGGATTCCCTCCCCACCCCTTTCTTCAGACAAGGAATTTATCATGTTAATGGCCTGCATTTCAAAGCTCCAGAGGGCTTTGATGCAGGTATAGGTCGTTTGGAAACTATCCCTTGGATATTGGTTCAGGTAGTTTGGTAACTATTTTTAGATGCAAGTGCTTATCGTTTGGAAACTATTCTTAAAAACATGTTCAGATAGTTTGGTAACTATCCTTTTAACTTTGATAAAAAGTCACGTAGTTTGGAAACTGTATTTAGATATAGGTTCAAAGTTTGGAGACTATACTTTGATACAGGTTCAGGTAGTTCGGAAACTTTATTCAGATTCAGGTTTAGATACTTCTGAAACTAAACTTTAAGATGGTTTAGGTAGTTTGGAAACTATTCCTATTTACAGGTTTATAGTTTGGAAACTGTTTTTTAATACATGTTTAGGTAGTTAGGAAGCTACCAGGTAATCAAGTTCTAGTACGGTGATAATCATAAAACTCTGGTCTTTTAAATCAAGTTACAACTTTAAATAGTCCAATCAGCATCATGCATGGCCCATTTCACTAAATTACTGATTTAATAAATGTTTAGTAAAATTATTTGTCCTGTAACAACATTAAACTGTAACAACATTAAATACGCTTAAGTATTGCTATAATGTCGTCTTCCTATTTCATAGTTTTCTTATTCTCACTGAAGTTTCAGACTGATCAGAAACAAATTCAGCCATTTTCCATAATTTGTTCAATTCTGTTGTACACTGAATGCCAAGGTTAATCTATTTCCCCGTCAGGGAATGTTCTTGTTTAACCGTCAAGTCTCCAAACGACTAGTCTGCAAGATGCAATCAACAATGGAAATATTAACCAATCTAAAAACGTTATTTTCCTCCCCGCCGCCCCTCAGACATCATACAACGGTCAAAAAACTGAGGAGAGGGGAAATCAAGTTTATCGTAGGTTGGTTCAATTACAAATTAATGGCGTTGGTTTTGAAGTACTAATAGGCAGAATTCGTACTGATTTTTGCTTTTAAGAGCTTGCGACCTTTTGAGTTTTGATTCATGCATAATCATAAGAGAAAAATTGGTTTCTAACATATTTGTTTGTCGCACAAATTCTTGGTTAGAAATTGATAGGAAACATTATTTAGTGAAAAAAGATTATTTCGCTTTGCGTTCAATAGAAGTAAATCACTACGAGATTATAGTTAAAAAACTTAAGTAATTATTTCCACAGATTAGATATAAAGTATTATATCCTCTGATGAAGTATAAATGTCAAAATTTATCATACAAATCAGCCCAATTCGGATACAAGGTCTAATTCATTCAAAATATTCGGTACGACTTTGTCAGCTCGTAGTTCCTCGGTTTTGATTTTACGACCAAGTATGAGTGAAAAAAGCAAATTTATAAATATACTAGGCTCATCTTCTATTTAAATTGTGAACATGTTCTTTTTGTTTACATTTTAAAACAAAGAAGAAAATTTTTTTGCGGATTTAAAAAAAAAATTCGCTGATTTTCAAGAATTAAATTTTTTTTACAAAATTAAAAACCTTTAAAACACATTTTTTAAAAAATTTTATCATTCATAAACCTTTCCTGTGGTCACGTGATGTCCCACAAAAAATGTGGGCCCGATCAGATTCGGTTCAGCCGTTTTGACGTTTATTGGATACAAACAAACAAACAAACAGACACCCAGACAGACAAGCCAAATTTTATAGATTACTAGGCTTTTAAGGCGCTTCGCGTCCATCTTCTATTTAAATTGTGAACATGTTCTTTTTGTTTACATTTTAAAACAAAGAAGAAAAAATTCGCGGATTTTCAAGAATTTCATTTGTTTACAAAATTAAAAACCTTTAAAACACATTTTTTTAAAATTTGTATCATTTATAAACCTTCCCTGTGGTCACGTGATGTCCCACAAAAAATTTGGGCCCGATCGGTCAGCCGTTTCGACGTTCATTGGATACAAACAAACAGACAGACAGAAAAGCCAAATTTATATATATAGATGTTACGTTTTCAGCTCTATTAGTTTAAGATGAAGATCACCAACTTAAAATAGAAATAGAATTAAAATTAAAGTAGGGAGTCCATTAAAAGTAGACTTGCAAATTTTCTTTGAATTCTGATAGAACTTCGAAGACATCGAACGAATTCATAAAATGCCATTTACTGAATTTAATAATAACCTTGCGGGAGATATTTAGTTTTAAATTGAATAATAATATGGAACTCTTGAAATATGTTGCTGCATGCTGTTCATTTATTTCAACAATTTCTGAGTTTTAGTATTTTATTGAAAAGTTGTCAAGACGACATTCATAAATGTTTCAAAATTGATTGTATATCTTATATGCAGTCGTATTACTCAGAATATTTAAAATTGACGGAGATGTTAAAAAATATCACCAATTTGGAAGGTGCAAAAATGGCGCGTCTCATTTTGGAAATCCCGAGACTAGAAGTCTTTTGGTGGTAATTCTTTTAGTTTGGCCATCCTACACACCATAGTTTGAGTAGAAGTAAATATTTCCATTTACTGTTTAGCCCCGATATAAGGATTTATCTCTAATTGAAGAATGAGATAGATAGATGATACTGCCATGGAATTTCTATTGGTTCAGAATAGACAACAAAAACATGATTGAACCCTGATTGGATCAGGCGCTAATGGAATTGCATAAAAGTGTGTACAGGGTGTTCCACGAAACATGACAGTTGGTGAAAATAAATGTCTTCTTCCATAATTTTTTGTTTGATACCAAAGAGAATAACTAAAAATATTAAATGGCAGTCATTCTCCTAATAAAATTGATTTCAAAGTAAAAATTTTGAGTAAAAATTTGCTGAACGGAATAAACTGTAAAAAGCCTTTAGCATCTTATACATTATTTGGAAGACGAATAATTCTCCAGTTTCGCGTTGTCGAAAACGGCCTTATTAAACAAAGACGGGATAAAAAAGTGTTCACGTAGTTCCCATGTTTATATGGACACCCTAATTACAGTAGTCGTCGTACATATCTCAAAACAACGAAGACGACTTTCGATATCAATTTAAATAAATATAAAGCTTGTAAACCGCATGAATAGTTGATACGCTTTAACATGGAAACAAAGAGAAGCTGCTGTTGTTTGTCCAATCATAACTCCGGAACTCCTGGACCGATTTGCCTCAAAGTTTGATTGGGGAACTCGGTAGAACCATATTTTGAGCTTGGGTTTAGTAATCTAATTGGAGTGGGTTGGCTTTTGTAGCGAACGCTTAGTTTCCAGGCGACACCGAGTTCCCAAGTTGTCTTTCAAATGTTTCATCTATTCAGTCACAAACTTGTCATTCGTCTTCATCAGATAAATAAATAACTTCTAATTCCAATTTACATGGCAGTTCATTGAACAGTTTAAAAAGAAATTCTTATTCTTGGCAAAACCGATACAATACAAGTTTTAATATTGATCTTGCAAATAATAGCCGACTTTTAAATCGTCCCATTATTTCCTATTTATGTATTATTTCAATAAGTTTCTCTTATACTGAAAAGTCGGAAAGTTATTGTCTGAAAAGAGTGCTAACGCTTTGCAAAATTAAACAATTTTTTAATTGACTAGGGAAAAATCTACGTTAAATAATAAAATTAAAATATGTTTGGTATTTAAAGCATCGCCTACTCGATCTTCTAAATCAAATTGAATCTTAGAAATGAATTTATTTAACAGTGTATTTTACGATATTCAGTCTTCAATTCTCTCCCCGAGTATGGCCGGTTTAAGGTTATGGACTACTCCCCCCCTTTCCGGTCAACATGTACAATATTTACAACATTTCATACATTCAAGTAACATGGCGTTCACATCTAGTATTCATAATGATTATTTTCTCCAAAATGGTTCTCATACAGGATTAAGATGTAAGGTTATCAGCGCTAACCACATCACATTAAGCTTTGAAATATATTTCTGATATATGACGTGATCTAATGGATCCGGATCTAAAGGTAAGTGGTAAAATTTCAATTAAAATAAACGAGAAACAAAACTTGTTGTTCTCAAAACACACTTTTAAAGTGTCAACCAGAGCTTAGGATCCTGATCCGGATCCGCAAAAATATCCTGATCCACGGATCCGGATCCAAGGGGCAAAATGTCAACCAAAAACTGCAAAAAAACCCTAATTTTAACTCTCAAAACCCAAATTTAAACCATTGAAAAAAGAAAGATTATAAAAGCTTCCTGATTTATGAATGGTTCATCAAGTTTTAGCATAAAAAAAGCAAAAAATAAGACAAATAATTTGAAAATTCTGCTTTGTTTAAAAAATCAGTGGATTTTAAGGAAATAACCTGGATCCGGATCCATTTTTTTCCAGAGCGGATCCAGGATCGGATCCTGAACCGCATCAAACTTAAATGGATCCTAAGCACTGGTGTCAACTGATCATAACCTTTCCTTATTATTTGATAAAAATCAAGTTTCTACATAAAAAGATGTAGAGAGCAAAAGAAAACTTGTTTTGTATAAAAAATTAGCAAAACTTTTCCGTTTTTTACAGGACCGGATCCGGATCCGCATCAAATGAAATGGATCCTAAGCAATCGATAGTGCCTTTTTGAACATGATATGGTTGAACGCTGTAGAATACATTAGACCAAGTATATTGTATGCTTAGTACAAACTGTGCCTTGTACAGTGTACGTGCAATGTACAATTTCTCCATATTGGTTCTCAATTACAACAATTAACACATTAAATACAATAATAACAAAATTTAATTTTACAATCACGCGTTTAATTAGAACTTAAGAATACTTTTAAATTTCAAAAATAGGGATTTTACTGGTTGGTAATTAGAAATTTTAAATTAATTTAAGAATTCTGAACATTTTAATGAGCGAATTCTTGTTAAAAAATACGATTGTAAAATGAGCCCGTAGAGATAATAATGAAAAAATATTGTAAAAAAAGAAGTTCTTTGTTTTTAATTAACAAAAATAACGCGAAGTTTAGAACAGTCAGCATGAAACATTTTTTAGAAAATTTTAACATACATAGCGACACGGTTAAAGTACTTTTACAGTGAGGGGAACACAATTACGGAAATCAGTCTTTGAAGCATGGGATCAGTCTATTTTCTATTTTCGGAAAAGTGTCAAATTCAACAGACAAAACATTGCGGAAATGTTCCGCAATATTTTCGGAATCTACACTTTCTGAGGTAACTTGTTGCAGTCGGTAAAATGGCAATCGGAAGTGAAAATGGTGCAGAACACATTTTAACTGTTTATCCATTTCAAATCCGTATTACTGAGGTATTTAATTGCGTTAGGCGAGCATTGTTGATTAACGATTAAATGCATTGAAAAAAATGGGTCTATTGGTTGGTACATAAAACTTGTTACCACTAAAATGGTCTAAATAGACTCTTCCAGTTTTTCAAGAAAAAAACTTAACTTTTAAATAACATAGTAAAATTGAGCTAAATTTTTAAAATGATCAGACTTTAAATTTCTTCATTTGAGGTAGATATCGTAGTACATTGTTTACGACCAACATGTATGATAAACAATGAACAGGTGACAAAGGTTTCCAACTAGTGAGTTGAAATTATCCTTTAACATTCTTAGATCGTAGAGCTGACAAACTTCTAGAGAGCTGACAAGCTTCTAGAGGTCAAGCTCCCTAAGAGCTGACAAACTCCTAGGGGGCTGCAAGTTCCTGGAGAGCTGACTTACTTCTAAAGAGCTGTCAAGTGCTCCAAGAAAGCTGACGAATTCCTAGAGAGCTGTCAAGGTCCCCAAGATAGCTGTCGAGTTCCTAGAAAGCTGTCGAGTTCCTAGAGAGCTGTCAAGGTTCCCAAGAGAGCTGTCGAGTTCCTAGAGAGCTTTCAAGGTTCCCAAGACAGCTGTTGTAAGTGTTGAGCTCCAAGACAGTTCTCAAGCAGCCTCCTGATGTAAAGGCTCCACATTAGGTATTACTTGTCTCTTAGCCTGGAATCCCTGATACAAAACAAATATCATAAACCTGTCAGCAACAAGAATGGAAAGAGAGAGAGAGAAAATTTGAATAAAGAAAAAAAATAAACAAAACAGGAATTGAGGGACGGGGGGGGGGGGGAAAATTTGTAATTTCTATTTTACCTCCTCGTCTGGTGAACCAGAGGGTTTTCTTTTCAGCTGATTAGATTCCTCGCGAGGGGTCAACATCACGTTAACAGCATGCGCAGAACCATTTGCCAGGTTGATTGGCGCGCTGCTGTCCAGGTTGTGGTCAACTGGGTTGGTTGAATGACGTGATGGGACTATTTCACCGGTTTCCTTTTTGAAAAAAATTAATATTTATATATTTTCTTTATTAATTTATTAATTTGACCTGAATAAAATGACCTGAATATTCAGATATCCCGACAACAGGAATGTACAATTTTGTTATTGTGCATAAATTAAACACATTTTAAATTACATTAGAAGTGTGTGTGTCTCAAGGGAAAGGTAAATTGAAGAAAAATGTAAACTTTCGACAACTTCAGAAATGTTTTTAAAAATCCTCTTCTAACATTAAGCGCTATGCTGAAAATGTTACCTTCTTCATGCTATTCTCCTCCTCCTCCCTCTCCTCCTTTACAGCTACCTCTAGATCAGAGGAACTATGTCCTGCAATCATACAACAAGATTTAGTTTATAAACGGAGCAGTGTGTTTCTAGTAATCTCTGCGGTCTGTCCGATTTCATATCCGATCATAACTCAGGCCCCCTTGACTGATTTGTCTCATATTTTGATGGGGGAACTCGTTAAACCTTGGTTTTAAAATTTTAAGTTGAGTAGGTCGACTTAAGGTTGATTTGGTCGACTTTTTAGAGGGAACTTACTTTCCGGGCAAAGCTGGATTCCAAAGCTAATATTGCATAACATCAAAATCTTAGTACATTGATTAAAAGAAATTGAAATTAAGTTTTGCAGAAAAACCATGTGCATTGTGAAATGTGCATGGTGCACTGTTCATATAGCATCAAAATATTAAAGCCTTCAGCTAGGCCTTTTATAATTAAGTTATATGGCAGTCATAAAGAATAAAAGATACGAATGCAATTAGATCTTTAAATAATAAAGTAATAAATAGATTTACCTGAATCGCTACCGCCACTCCCATTGCCACCGCCGCCACCATTTACGACGGCGGCGTGTCTCAGGATGTTCGACAGGCTTACCGGCACATTCTAAAATGAAAAATTAGTATAATAAAAATTAGACTCATAAAGGAATCGAGTCTGTTACAAACTCTGATTTTTTAATCCCTTTATTTTGAAACCCAATTATTTCAAACTAAAATTAATTCTGTTAGTTGAAATAACCCAAGTTTGAAAGATCAAAGGTTTACAGCATCAGGTTGCAAAGATATAAGAATTAGAAAATTTGGGTTTGTGGCAAAGACTCAATTTCAATATATTTTGTAGTTTGTAAAAGGTATAAAGGGCAACCAAGTATATGATTGGTTGACAGAGATTAATCATTGAAGGGTAGAATCTGAATGCAATGCCAATAAACTCAGTGCGCCCACAACTTGTGACCATTAGATTAAAATTGTAAAACAAAGTATTATTAAACTTTCACACTGCGCAGCGGAAATATTTTTCGAGAGGGGATGGGGTAATACTCAACTCCCCATCCAGCTTGTATACCTGGTTGTTCAAGTTGTTAAAGTTGTTCATCTTCTGGTTCATCATCATCACCGTCATCATATCCAGCAGAGAACCTGGATGAAGTTATATTAAAGGGTTCAGTTCATATACAAGAATAGGATTTGGATTTATAAAATAATCACTTAAGTAACCCCATTCCCAACCTGATCTCAAAAAAGCAATTTCCCCAGTAGTAAGTAAGCGATATTTAATATAATCGATGAATTAGGGAAATTAAATAAACGATTCTAAGGGAAAAATAATTAATGTTTCAGCAATTAACATTGAAAGAGGGAAAATCTTGAGATTTCTTTCCAAACTTAAATTTTTCTGATATATATATATGTATACCCCTGGCATATTTTTACGCCCCCCCCCCCCCGTAAACCTCGAACAAAGTATGCGCGGACAACGACAGCCTAGTAAAACCCCGCAGGAAAAAATAATTCGGAAAGGGGAGGGGGGGGGGGGGAAAAGGGCCAAAAATAAGAATCACAGAACTAATAACCACCCCCGACCTCTGTTCCATATCTCAAGTCCTGCTTGTATTAAATACCTGGCATACTAGGAGCCTGTTCTACTTCAGGTTTCTGGGTTAGCAGAAGAGGTAGCTTCTGAACTATCCCCTCTTTAGGTAAACCAACCTAAATATCAGAAATTAGGATCCTCAAACTTGTCTTGCTAGAGATCAATCAAGGTATTTCTAGATTTCTTTACAGGCCTATCCATGTCCTGCAAGACCTATCCATGTCCTGCAAGGCCAATCCATGTCCTGCAAGGCCTTTACATGTCCTGCAAGGCCTATCCATGTCCTGCAAGGCCTATCCATGTCCTGCAAGGCCTATCCATGTCCTGCAAGGCCTATCCATGTCCTGCAAGGCCTATCCATGTTCTGCAAGGCCTATCCATGGCCTGCAAGGCTAAACCATGTCATGCAAACAGAAAAATATTAACCTCTGGTTTTCCATGTCCTTTCTTGTATGCCTAGTAATATTGCGTCTACCTATCTACGTGTCTACTTGTTTAATAGTAATTAATAACAATCTTAATCTGTCTAACAGTCTATCCCCCATTCTAACCACCTAAATTTTTATTCGTAAAAGTAAGTATATTTGTCTAATCTGTATCTGTCTACATTTGTCTATTGTTCAATAAATTAGTCTATTTGTCTGAATTCGTTGGTCTGCATGCCAAGACTGTTGATCATAGGAACCTAAAAATAAAAGAATCAAAATATAAACAAGTAAAAGATAAATAATTGCCAGACCCGAAGATTTATATGTTTAAATGGCTAATTGCCCTAAAAAAAGAAGGACTTCTTGTTCTCGCTCACTCACATGCTGAATGTTGATCTATTTAACGTACTACCTACAACCGTGGCTTGTTTGTACTTTATTACGTTATTACCTTGCTTGTTGGTATTTACTCCTACCTACTTCCTGGTTTGCATATTATTTACTTCTACCTACTACCTACTTCCTGGTTTGCAGATATGAACTTATACCTACTACCTGGTACCTACTTCCTGGTTTGCAGATATGAACTTATACCTACTACCTGGTAATAATAATAATAATAACTTTAAAGGGAATATTAACCTAATTCAAAGTAAGCTATCATTTAAAAAATGCCATTGACGATTCACTATAGTATTCTTCACCTTTCGTTTATATGATAGAGAATGGTGATATTTTCGTTTTTCAATCAAATGATTTTCACAGGGTGAAGGAGGCTAAACTTGAAAATAATTTTCGACCTTTTTAACCTTTTTCCCGCTCAAATGATTTCCCCATCAAAATATTGCAAATTGAGTATCCTCAAAAAGTTAAGTAGTGATTAAAAAAAACATTTCCAACACGACGAAATTTGTGGAATTGTTTTGGAAGTTTTTAATAACATTTACAGATATAAGTTTGGTACAACACATTTAACATTAATCGTCTTCGTATTTATAATAATAATAATAATCTTGATTTGTAAAAAAAATTGAGAAAAATATTTTAACAAGTGCACTTCACTCCCGGTCCCCTACCCACTTAGTAGTAACGTAATTAGTTGGAAATATATTAATGTATTTAAAATCTTTTAATTTACATCGTTTAAACTTAAATTAGTACAATTGACAGATTTTTAGAGTCAGTTCTTATGATATATCCACATTTACATTCTACAATATGTGTACGAGAAACTTGGTCAAATTATATTATTTAAATACAAATCTAAAACAAATTTAAATAATTAAATTTCACACACATATTAGCCATTTCCCCTAAACCCGTTTATTTGATTGTTGATCAATAATAAGTATATTCTAATATGAAATGCATTGGCTATTGCAGAAAAAAAATAATTTTTAACTTTCTTATTTAACATTTTCTGATGTAAGACAGCCCTATATTTTTTATGTTCTATATATATAGGGTATGTTTTACACAACACAAAATATTTTTTTTTGCATAGTTGAAGTTGATATATTTAAATGTCATCATCAAATGCAAAAATATTTTGTAGAGCACAAACAAAAAATCCGCTAAAAAAGATTTTTTGGAAACAATTCTTTTTTTCGGCAGAATATCGATTTGAATAAAAAATGTGTGTCTATTGAGTGAAAAATCATAAACTTTCTGTAATACTATTTTATATTTAGTCTCAAAACTTAAATATTCTATAATTCTGAAATATTATTAATAAATAGAATATTACCTTATCATACAGTGTGCGTGATGGAACCCCGTATTTTCTCGACGCCTGCAATGCACTCATCCCTGAAAAATTTTTTGTCGAATTAAAATTTACTTTTAACACATTTTTTAAAACAGGAAGTACGAGACATGATCATAATGCCTGGACAAAAATCAGATTGATTATTAAAAAGATCGGGACTGCTAATTTTTCAAAAATATATTTTTGAATTTTGATTAGAAAATGAATTATTATTTTCATATTACACTGATAATATTAAACGTAATCTTACCATTTTTTACTTCTTCAATTGCAGCAACAATATCATCCTAGATGGAACAAAACATTTATTACACAATTTTAAAAACTTATATTGAAAGAAGGTCAAATAGGTTTTTTAAAAAGGCATTTACTTTTTTGTCATAAAAATGGTGATAAAAACTAGTTTAAAAAAAATTCAATTGTTGTCTTTCTTTGTTTTATTTCCTTGGTGTACTGCTTGTACCGTTTCCATTCAGCTTTCCCGTTTGCTCCTGAAAAATATGTTCGCATTCAGGGTGATCTATATCTACTTGGACGGATTCATGGGATGCTTAATCTGGTTGGACGGATTCATGGGATGCTTAATCTGCTTGGACGGATTCATGGGATGCTTAATCTGGTTGGACAGATTCATGGGATGCTTAATCTGGTTGGACGGATTCATGGGATGCTTAATCTAGTTGGACGGATTCATGGGATGCTAAATCTGGTTGGACGGATTCATGGGATGCTTAATCTGGTTGGACGGATTCATGGGATGCTTAATCTGGTTGGACGGATTCATGGGATGCTAAATCTGGTTGGACGGATTCATGGGATGCTTAATCTGGTTGGACGGATTCATGGGATGCTTAATCTGGTTGACGGCATTATTGTTCAGAATTTCCTTCCCCGGAAGTGAACATGATTTTGGCTATTATCACAAACTAGATATTTTTGTCACTATATCACGTATTTTACCCTATATTAAGTATTTTTGCATCACTTACCTTGATTTTTATCTTTAATTTAGTCATTTTGTCCTTTTAGCCAAATTTTTTACCCAGGGCTTGGGGTGTTTTTTCCCCCAAAGTCACAACCAAAACATCAGGTTATTTTTACAGTTTGATGCAGCCCGCGCTATGTTCAAAGAAGTTATATGCAGCGGGGGGTGGGTAGCACGCGAGGGGGGTGCAGCGCCCCCTTAGGAGATTTTTTTTTTTGTATTTTGGTTGTACAAGGGAGTCTTTTGGTGCCCTAAAAAGGTCAAAAACCAAGTCCCCTCTGAGATTTTTTTTGAAATTATTAAAGCTTTTAAATGGGGCAAAACATGATTTTAAAGAAAAAAGTTTGATACTTTCTTGTGTGAGCCGAAGCTAGCAGATAAAAACTAATAATAAAAATAATTTGAAAAAAAAGTGTTTGACACTAAGCTGTCTATCCTCCAAGCAGTTAATGCCTAGCCTGTGCTACAATAAAGGTTTTTTTAATTCTCTTCCATTAGAACTTAAAATACAATTGGGAAATGAGATTTAGTTCTCAGTAAAAAGGAAATATATGAAACGTTTCTGAAGTATCTGATTTCTCTTCCCCATATAGGCAATGACTAAAACTTTTAATATTTTTGGGGTAAATCATGTTTTTTCTTCTCTTATGCCACTGGGGAAAGTAATAATTTCACCATTAAGAAATAGAGAGAAAGAAATATATTTATAATTTTCTTCACCAGGCTCATAAAATAGTGATATTATTAGGTTTCTTCTTCTTTTAATATATTTTTTTTCCCTCCCTTTTTCTTTTTATTCCTCTTTTTTTCTTTTTCTCCCTCTTTTTTTCTTTTTTCCCTCTTTTTCCTTTCGCCCCCCTTTTTTCTTCTCTTTTCTCTCTTTTTTCACTCTTTTCCCTTTTTTTCTTTTTTTTCTTCCCTGGGCTGAATTCTCCCCCCCCTTGGGGGGGGGGGGGGTGTTAAAAGTAAGAACGTACTCCTCTGGATTCATGGGATGCTAAATCTGCTTGGACGGATTCATGTGAATTTTTATTTACCAACAACTCTGATCATCCCGGGGGCCGGGGGGCTCTCATCGTTCATGTAGTGTCCGTGGTAGTTCTCTGCATTCATCTCCGCAGCACTCTAATTTTACAAAAAATATTTATTTTTAGAATCCTAGTTATAGCATAAAAAGTTTTAAATATTTTAATAAACAACTAAAAATATAGGTTTTAAGAAAAGAAAAAATCTAAATTTGTTTTTTAAAAAAGATTATCTTCTTTTTAACGAAAAACTAAAAAAATGGTTTTTTTTAATATATAAATGATCACTGATCAATGATCACGTCTTTTCTTTTTGCTTATTTTTCCACAATCCTCAGTTTGTTTATTAATTTTCTCTGATTTCCTTTTGCTAACAATAATGGAGCCAAAAAAATGTCTCACCATGTTACTAAGTGAATTTGAATCCATGCTATTCTCCTCATCTATTACAAGCACTCCATCATCCTCCTTCTCTACTCTGATTAGTTAATGGATTACTTAATCAATCAATTAATTATTATAAACATTTGTTTAATTATTGGTTGATTCGTTGATTTATCATTCAATTAATTGGTTCAATGGTCTAAAAATTGATTTTTTTACAAATCATTGATATAATAGTTCTTTATTACATTAATTCAACATTACTTGATTTCCTTAATTTAACAATTCTTGATTTAATTGAATCAACAATTTTTAATTTCATTAATTCAATAATTATTGATTTCATTAATTCAATAATTCTTGATTTCAATTCAATAATTTTTGATTTCATTAATTCAACAATTCTAGTTTTTTAATTAATTCCACAATTCTTGATTTCATTAATTCAACATTTTTTGATTTCATAAAATTAATAATTCTTGATTTCATTCATTTAAAAAAAGGGGTTTTGACAAAAATCACTACCAAATTGGATATAATATAAAAATCTAAAAAAATCTTGACATTTAAAAAATTGTTTTGACTAACCTGCCGGAGCCTAGAAGTTTGGCCGGTGATGTAGGCCAGATATTTGGCTTACTGCCGGAACTGAAAAACAAAAAAATAACGACATATTCAAAATATGTTTGTCTAGGCCAGATATTTGGCTTACTGCCGGAACTGAAAAACAAAAAAATAACGACATATTCAAAATATGTTTGTCTAGGCCAGATATTTGGCTTACTGCCGGAACTGAAAAACAAAAAAATAACGACATATTCAAAATATGTTTGTCTAGGCCAGATATTTGGCTTACTGCCGGAACTGAAAAACAAAAAAATAACGANCCCCCATAATACAGTTGTTGTAGCGATTGAACCGATAATGCAGTTGTTGTAGCGATTGGACTATAGTATCAAAGTCACCCCGAGAAACATACACCAATAGAACAGTCTTATGAGTGTATACCAAAAGATTAAATTCAAATCTCTACCTGGGTGTATAGCTGGATTTGGATGAGTTTGATTCTTTTCTGCTATCTCGGGAACTGTCCCTTTAATAAAAATTAAGCCTATTAAACTTCTCTATGAAACCGTTTCATTTTACATAATAAAAAATATTTTTTAGATATTTGATTTTTAATCCAAAAAGGTTTATAAATGCGTATATTTGATGTTAATGCGTATACAAATACATATTATAAGCAGAGGAAGTCTTGTTCCATGTAATCTCAACCACAGGGCTACAGGGGGGAGGAACCTGGTTTGTTTAATACTATTAACCCTTGTGAAAAGGCCAAAGGGGTGGGGGGTACCTGGTTGGTTTACTAATAATTACCCTAGTGTACGGGGGTATAATTTAAAGATCATCATTTATAATTTTTTATTAAAAGCTCACAACACTTATTTTAAGTTCTTTTTTAATTTCTAACCCTGTTAGTTTCATTACTGGATTGATTTACTTCTATGCTAAAGTCATTGCTACAAATTTGATTTTCTTTATCATACCAAAAATAAAATCATTGGTAATTTACAATAAAAGTTATCCATTTATTCATTTGAAAGAAAAAACACATATGTACAATGTACAATTAGCATACAAAGTACGTTAGATTTTAAAATAATTTAAGGTTGATATTTAAGGTGGATACTGGATACTATGTACCTTCAGTTTCAAGTTTTAATCTTTCAGTCCATATATTTTTGGTATTTGGCATTTTCCCCCATTTGCTATTATTCATGGTTAAATTTTAAAATTTTGTTTTATTCATATTTTCGATTTATTTTGTTTCTGTGTTTATTATTAATTTTCTATATTATTATGCTAACATTATACCTTGCAGTTCCTCCTCCTGTACAGATGCCTCCCCGTAGTACACATACTCAAGCAGACTTCGGATCTGTGTATACTTGATATCCTAATGCAGATCAAATATCAGTAAGCACATTAAATGGACTGTTAGCGTATTTTAAAGTGTGCCTCCATGCAAAGACGACAATGTTCGATAAACTATGGTACCCTTTAAACCAATATGTTCAGAATAATGTTGTTTTTCTAGACAAGTGATTGCTTCTTATCATCCTTATATGTTTTTCTGCATTAGAAATGCAAGTCACTTTTTTAAAGAACCACAATTGAAAAAAACTGTTTTTAAAATTATAAACATGCAATCTAATTAAATACTTCATAATAATCAGGCCCAGCTTTTAACGGTATCGTTGTGAATCGGATAGGGCATTAGCATTTTTTCATGGAGGGTCACTTAAAATTATTTTTACAGTCCACTTTAATAGTATCTACACTCTACAGGGTTATCTACAAAGGTTGAGACTGAAATGACGGCCTAAAAGTCTTAAATTAAATATAAAATAGTTAATATAAACTTACTAAACAAACATGTATACAAAGTTACAGCTTCAGGGAATTATAGATATAAAAAATATTGAAGATTCTGACACCTTTGAGGTTTCATTCTTTGTCGGTAACCCAGTTTCTGGACAAGGCCGGGAGGGGGAATCAGATTTATTGGTACAAAATATACACCTCATAAAGCGTTTTTTTTAATAAATAAAAATAATATACCCATCACTTTATTTATTATATGAATCTTTCGTTTCTCAAAGAAGGGAAATTTTCTTCTGTTAATCCTAAAATAAATTATTTAGACTGGTTTTTGTCACAACTCTTAAAATGCATTAACATTGTGTTTCATGGTGAGAATGTACAAAATAAAAATATTCTGATAATCTTTTCATTTACGAACATTGTATTTATTGTAGCTTGCAATTATTTATAATTAATTTCCCCCTTCTTATATTTATCCTTGAATGGATCCTGTAAATCCACAACAAATTAAGAATGTCGTCTTTATTACAGTGAACTATTTCGGGGGGAAAAACATGAATGTATAGCTTTATTACTCAAAATTAAAACGGATTTAGGATAATCTAGATATTTAAATAGATTATAACAACCATTAATCAAGATGTGGGCGCGTCGGCAGCCCGCCAAAGTTTAAGTTTGGTCTTCACGGTTTTCACGAAAATAACCTTGGTTATCCGTCAGATTTCAGAACTTCAACTTACTATCACCTAGAGACTTCTCTAAGCGACCGAGCCGAATAAGATGTATATGGTGTAAACTCAATTTTGATGATACCCCATTGTCATGGGCCTTCCTTTTACCTGTAACAATTGATCAAAGACCGAGACAAGGTTAGATTGATGGTTATTCCATCTAGAAAACCCGTTAATTACGTAAATCTTGCTTAAATTATGGGAGGGGGAGCTCGGTATGTAATATATTCATATAAAAACCTCAGTTATTTATAACATGCTTTTACACATTAGAAAGGAGGAGTTTTCTCGCGACTTAAGAAAATTTCAGTTTTATTGGCGTTGTCATTCAGTTTCATATCAATTCCAAACCGCAGCGCTTAATTCCGAGATTCTTGCTAAAATGAGGGCGGTGGGTTTAGGGGGCCAATTATGTAATTAGTGGATTCCTTAAGCAAAGTAGCTGAGGTTCAGTCTCCATAGTACAACCCGTTCTCCTTTTCCCTTTCCTCTTATAAACCAGCTCCTTCTCCTTCCCTAGTTCAGCTCTTAATACCTTCCCTCTCAGAATCGGAGAATTCTCCCTTACATCTAAAAATAAAATTCTGTGAAAAAAAATATTTATACTTAATTCATGTAGATATCAAATTCAAGTGATTTATAAATAAAAGATGATTCTAATTTCTTTTATTCACATATATATGAAATTCACTTTACAGTTAAATAAGACGTTGCCCCGGCCGAAAACAGTCGTTTGCGCAACGCGAAAAAAAGGCCTCACGCTATCCTGGCTGCAAACCCTCCACATTCACGCAATATTTCACGCAACCTGACCCCAAATCACATCAATATCACAAAACTTCGCAATTTCACAATTCAAAAACCGCGCGAAATATTTTGCACTGCGTAGAGTTGCGAAAAACAGCTTTGCAAACCTTACTGGCGGGGCTGAGTGTGCAGAAATTTAGCAAGCTGGGTGCGGAGATATTGCACTGTTGAGTGCCCAGCAGTTCTATACTAAAACCTGCAGCGCAGCTCTTGCAACTGGAGTTTCAGCAAAAAATATTCCTTCCAAAAATTTGTTTTGAATTTAATTTATTTTATGAAATTAACACTTTTAATAACATTTCAACAAATTCATATAAAATTTTTGTGAAATAACTTTCCCTGAAAGCTTGCCAAGGCCGCAATTGTGCAGGGTGGCGCGTACCGGACTACTATACTACTAGACGAGTTTTTGCGATCGGTCTGTGTCTTTCCCCAGGGTCGGGCAGCGGACCGGTACCACCTGCCCAGCTAAAAATGGCATGCAACCTCGCAAACGTCATCACAGCAGCCCAGTCCTGCTCATTGCAACCGTTGTGCCAGTACAGTGAATCTGATGCAGCTGCCGGTAAGGTACGGGGACTCGAGTGCAGAGGAAGCTGGACTGCATGAAAATTGCGTGCAATATAATAGTGGTACAGACACGGAATACTGAGGGAGAACGGCGGTGTGGCAGAAAAAATATTTCTCCCAGGGCTGGGAAGCGGCAGCTTGCAATTTTGATGACATGGAAGCCAAGGGCGTATACAGATGGGGGGGGGCAAGGGGGCAAGGGGGCATGTGCCACCCCAGGGACCGTAGTGGATGTTAAGCCTAGGGCGCTGTATACTTTTGGAGCAGAATTTTTTTTAATATAATTGTTGACCCCCCTAACGGTTGATGTGCACCCCCCCTTATAAAACCCATATTAATTAGGAAAAAAAATAAAGCTTATAAAATCTATATTAATCTACCCTGACCATAACTACCAACCATTATAAAATCATGGTAGTAAAAGAGCAAAAACTTGGATTTGAGGTAATTAAAAACAGCATTTTTTAAATGTTGAAGGAGCATGCCCATGAATTACTAAATTATTATAATATTGATGGCTGGTGGATCCGCATTTGAACTACTGCCGTTTGAACTATGGTACGTTTGAACTATTGCTCGTTTGAACTATTGAATTCATTTGAACTACTGACATGACGTCATATCCTGTAGTTTAAATCAACGCATTTCTTGCTCATTTGAACTATTTTTATACCCCAATTCAGTTTTAAAATTTTTTTAATCTCCATTAAGTTACATTCATGACAATTAATTAGATAAACATTACACAGAATGACAAAAAAATAGTTCAAATGAGCAAAAAAATAGTTCAAATGAACAAAAAAATAGTTTAAATATGGGCAAAAAAATATATCAAATGAACAAAAAAAATAGTTCAAATGAGCAAAAAAATAGTTCAAATTATAGCTTTATAAAATGTATACTGTCAACAGGATTGTGAAACCCTATAAAACTGGATATGGATGAGTTATTTATTGAGAGATGTGCGCGAAGCGCCAAAAAATTTCTGTTCATTTAGCGTCTTTTCATTTATTCACTATGTATAAAGTCTTAAAATTCGGTGATGGTGATGGACCATGACCTCTGTAGAGTTAAAAAAAAGATGTTAGTTCCACATTTATTAAATATTTCGGTCTGGGTTGACCCTCGTCAGTTCTAACGATACAATAACCATCAAAATCGATAAAAAAATTGTCCACTATATATGCAAGTCCCAATTAACCGTAGGCCTGTGCTCCCTGTGCAGTCATATGTATTTCCTGGCAGTACTCGACTTTATTTCGTCTGTCCATAGAATTCATAAGTCTTTCTGATCGAAGTCCCTCTGTCAAATTGTTTGCCTGCAGTAAGGACTCCGACTTATCCCTGTTTTCCTCTTATAGTCTTCAAAAGTCCTGATCAGTGGCGTAAATAAGGGGGGTTAATGGGGTTATTTACCCCTCCCCCTAGAATCCTGTGGGTAACATATCCCCCCCCCCTAGAATCTTGGAGGTAATTACCCCTGAACTATTTAGGCCCTGAATAGCGAGTTGTTACTTTGTTTTTATTTTTAAAAAAAGGTTGATTTAAAAATTGAATATCTCTAAGTTTGCGAGAAAATAATATAAATGTGCAGATACTTTAGATATTTTAGATTTTAAGTCAACATATTCTAAATGATTCTAAATTCTAAAGTAATAGTCAATGTCATTACAATTAGATGTTTTTAATAGAAAAAAAGGGTATGGGCAATGAAAAATACATTTTTACTTATATATAATGTCATTTCCATGTTAGATTTATTTAAGATCTTAACATACTACATTGACGACAAGAAAATTTTAGAAATTAGAAATA